CGGGCTCGGGAGGAGCTGGAGGTATCTTGCGGCGGCGGCTGCGTCCCTCTGCGTTGCGCGGCCAGGTGAAGATTTGCGCCTAAGAGCAGCTTTCACCGAGTGGCAAGGCCTTAGTAATGGACGTACTCAGATTGCAGGGACTGTGCGGGGGAGAGACACAGAGTGAGGTTAAATCCCACCCCGCGGAGCGCCCGGCTCCGCACCAGGCTTCTTCCTCGGGGGACAGGCCGGGGCTAATGCACAAGAGGTCAGTGAAGTCACCTGGGGAAACGGGCGACGCAGGGCGCTGGCTAAGAAGGAGGCGCTGGGCCGGGAAAGGGCCTGCAGGAGAAGCGTCTGTTTTAAAGGGCTCGCTAACTTGCCCTGGCCGGGGCGGCTCCGCTGGTTGGAGTGTCCTCCCCATACACCGAAAGGCTGTGGGTTCAATTCCCGGTCGGGGTACACACCTAGGTTGTGGGTTGGGTCCCCAGGTGGGGTGCATTCGGGAGGCAACCGATCGATGTTTCTCTCTCCCCCTTCCTCTCTCTAAGACAATATCAATAAGCACGTCCCCGGGTGAGGGTTAGAGGCTTTCTAACTTATTAACAGCGATGCAAAGTTAAGTATTATTTGAAAATTGGTAGGTAGCACTAAACTCGCCTCCAGGCTTTTATGCAATAGTGTTGAATTTTACTTAAAAATATTAAATGGCACCTGTAACCAAACTAGGGCTTACTTGCATACTTTAAGGATATATGCACTCCTGAATGAAACACAGCGCGTATCCAACAAATGTGAATGCTCCTACAGCAGCAGACTCAGCAGCCATTTAAATAAATTCCCCGAGGACGGGTGAACTTAACAGCCTGCAACTCCTTTCCACTTCGCGCTTTGAACTCCGACCTTAGGCCCCCAAAGAGTCCAGCAGCCCCGAGAGACAGTCCCAAGTTGCAAAAAAGGCAAACGCCAGTTCCTCCCTTATCGCCGGAGATGCTAACACATAAAAGGAACAGGTCGGGATATGTAACTGGAGCGCGGACAGTGAAAATAAACCCAGAAAAGACAGAGAAAACATGCCTACTAGTTATTTTTGAGCCGCAATCAGCAATTCGNAGACAGAGAAAACATGCCTACTAGTTATTTTTGAGCAGCAATCAGCAATTCAAAAGGAGAAACACAAAATCAGTTTCAACATTACCAAAATCCCTTGCACAATTCTTCCAACCAAACACCTTAGAACAACATTTACTCGATTGGCTACCAAATGCCCCTTCTCCTCCCCCAGTAATTATTTTATGAATAAACCTTATCATTTCTGAGGCTCATCCGTGTTGTTGACAGCACAGGGGTCAGTAAAAAAGGAATCTGCCCATTTTGCAAATAATTTACTAAACGATTCAAACTATCTTTGTTCAGCTTTGAAATCCCAGAGTTGTATATCCTACTGCATCTTAAATACTAAAAAAAAAAAGGGGGGGGGGGACCAGCAATGACAATGAAAATGAAGGAAGTGAGACCCAAGGCATAACTATTATTTTACAAGGTGGCCCTTATTTATACGATCAAGAGATTTTAATTAAATAGAATATTCGATTTCATGTGGCCAGTAAAGTCAATAGGGTTATAGTGAGTTAATAACCAGATCAAATTTATCAAGAATATATGGTATTTTTATGGTACACACACCATAAAATTAAGAATACAGCAATATTCAACCTGGAAAATAAGAGTAAAATTACCTTACACGTGCAGCCCCCAAAATTTTTATGTCAAAATATAAGAAATCTTGTTCTCTGAAAGCAGTTAGATTTGACATAAAACAAAGTGTTAGGTAAGGAGATCAAGACAATTTGTTCTTTTCTGGAAATTCACTACTAATCTGTTTTGGCAGATGTAGGTAGTGACTTTAAAAATTCAGCTGTTCTGGGGGAGTTTCTTTTTTAAACAGCCTAGTTACCTAATCAGGGGAGAAAAACATCTAATAATTGTAGATACAAATACTGACTGATCGTTAATAAATAAAATTATAAGATGGCTTTCAAAAACGGAAAATCATAAGGAATGATGCGAGATTAAGGTCTTTGCCAGCAAAGGAATGAAGCATCTTCAACGTTCAAATACCTTGAGCCAAAAGATCCTGTGACCGGAATGTTAGCCTCCTACTAGGTCAAAATCCTGACTCAAAATCACATGTGCTTTTGCCACACTCACTGGTGTGTTTTTTCCCCTATATTTCCCCATTTTTCCAAATCCCTTAAGGAAGAAAAACAGTTCGCTCATTACCCTTGATATGAGTTCTAACAAGAGGCAAAAAACACCTAAAAAGTGTTTTGTTTTAATGACACAGATAAGTAAAGGGGGGAAAGCACATGTTTGACAATAAGGCATCTTATTTTATATTTAACTCCAGTGTTTTAAGTTTTAATGAGCAAAGGGGGGGGATGAACGCTGGGGGAAACAGTGTATCTGCAGCTGCCTTAGAATCGGCCTCGTGTCCCGTGTTCGGACTGATGCTTCCCCAGGTCTGGCGATACCTGAAAGCATCTGCCTTTCCCAAACAGTAACACTTCCCCTGACCCTGGCGGAGGCACAGCTGAAGGTTTGTTGGAAACAGTAACACGAAAGGCTCCTGATAAAAATCAGCCAGAAACAGGTGCAGGCATTTTTCTAATGTTCTCTAGGCATTTCCGAGATCCCCAAGGACAAGCCGATTTGGGTTAACTAAAATGCTATCTAAAATATCTAAAATATCCTTTCACCTCCCTTACATAACTTTTAATAGATTCTCTTTTTTTCTGGGGAATTTAATCTGTGCTTTTCAACAGAGTTCAGTTGTTAGGTGACAGGTTGTTGACGCCCAGCTTAACTCCGCCAACGATTACATGAGTGTTCTCAGTTCACCTGAGCACCAAAATTATGTTTACATTTCTCAAACGAAACCTATTTTATTTTAGTAAAGCCACATTTGTAGGAAAACTAAACCCTTGGATGACTGCATATTAGAGCTAACGCTGAAATCTTGCTTTTCCTTAGGGTTTCAGAGGCCCACGAGGAAAACAGGCTCCCCACCTTCTCTCTTTGCTTAATGTCCACAGACCTCGATATTTTAGCCAACTTTTAGTTCAGTCAACATTTATTAGGCACCTACTAGGCTTGGGAAGCTGAGAAAACAGCGAGGCCTCTGCGAAGTGGAAAAGCCGGGGGGGGGGAGGGAATGGGGACAGGGTCCCAGGAGAGGGAAGGGCATCTGCCTGGAGGGGTCGAAAATGCTTCCCCAGAAACAACTGTTGAGCCAGGTCAGGGGCTGAAAGACCAGGCGGAGAGAGAGCCGAGTGCGGGGGAGGCGCAGGCCCCGCACAGGTGATTAAAATGCGGGGGGAGGAGAGCGGAGGCGGAGATGAAGACGCGGAGCTGACGGAGGCACCAGGACGACCTGGGCTCGCANTAAAATGCGGGGGGAGGAGAGCGGAGGCGGAGATGAAGACGGGGAGCTGACGGAGGCACCGGGGCGACCTGGGCTCGCGGGGTCAGGCGAGGACGGCGCAGACGCATCCAACTCAGTGGTAAGTCTCAAAAATAAAACATCGAATATTCAAGGCAGATACCTCAAGTAATTCCAACCTGATGAAACACTTCCCCCCACCCACGCCATAATCACGCAGACGCCTCCGGGTGTCAGGGAGGGAACGGCGCTTCACAGCAGGTGGGGCGATGCCAACGGAGGCCCCCCTTGCTGGGCACGGAGGCCACCGAGGGGGCCGCAGGAATGAAAACAACAGGGCCCGCTGCCCCTTGGCCACCAGGCGCCTTAGCGTCTGCTCCCGTTTTCTGTGTGAAGCCCTTAGTGAGGGACCAAGGACGGCTTCGTTTCTCTGGGGGCTGAACTGCGGCAGAGAAGGAGGGAGAAAGCGCAGCTTTCATATCAGACTCCCTCGGGCGCCCGTCACCGCAGCCCTGGGAGCTTCTGGGTCCTTCCCAACGGTACTGGGAGGGGGTGGCCTGGGACTTCCTGGGCCACCTGAGGATTAGAAACACGCTGAGGGATTCATCCCTGGTTCTTCGGGGTCCCGTGTGTCGCATCCTCAGAAGCATTAGAAAGGAGGAGCATATTATTTAGACACGAAACACCAGTGAGCAAAGCTGCACCGGACCGACAGGAAAAAAACTCAGCCTCCTACTTTATGCCTCAAAAAATGGGGATTTCCGTCTTAATTTAGACTTTCTGCCAGCGAGCCAGCAGGGGTAGGACATGGAGCCTCTCCTCTCCAAAAAGAGGGGTTTTTAAGGCAAAAATAAAGGAGGGAGAGTCGGTTATATGAGACTGGCTGCTGCCTCCTCGGGGGTCAGAGAAAAATGCTGCGGTGCTGGGAGCTCTACTCCGAAATGCTCTTTCTTTACAAGAAAATGACAAATTTAAGAGGGAGGAGAGGGACCGAGCAGCTGCCGCCCACACAGGCTGTGACTTTAAATGTAATTATTGGAAAATTATTCGGGCCATAAAGAGAGATGAGGAGGGGAAGAAACATGAGAAAATATGGACTGAAACCCAAATTAGGTTATATAATCATGGGGGGGGGTGAGGGAATCAACCGTTATCTAAAGAACCGCCCCCCCGGGAAAGAGGAAAACAGGGACCCAGGAAAAGTGGGGTGCTAGCCAGGCTCCTGGTATCCAGCCGAGCGTGGGCTGCTCACAACCTCCAGCCGAGAGCCCTGCGAGGTGCTTGTGTGTCTGTGCGTCTGTGTGTCCGTGTCTGACGCTTTCTCTAAAGAGGGAAAGAGCTACACCCGGGTCTAAGACAGGGGTAACGCGCAGTTACCAGGACTTGGGATTTACTGACGCTCGTAAGGTGGTGGGATCCCAGTCGAAGGACGGGCGGGGAGCTGGCAGCTGCCCGGGGCCCTGCTCTGCACAGGCATCTAGAATAATGTTTACAAACGTCCTTGGGGATGAAACCAGACGGGGGAGTTCTAGGTGCCAGCAGGACTGACTGTGTGGACAGAGGAGGCCTGAGGTAGGGGTGAGCGTGGTCGACTTCAGGCAGCACACGCACACGCACACGCAAGGGCACGCACCTGCACGCTGCATCTTGTTAGAAAAGTGGTTTTCAGTCTGCCATCTAAGGAAGTGGGTCCCACTAACTGTCACCCACGGGGCTGCCACTCCGCGGAGTGGGCGAGAGGCACGCGGCCTCCCCACCAGCCCCTCCCTGGGTTTCGAGAAGGAAACGTTAGAACAGCGGGCGGAGGGTGACCCAGAGGTGTGCTGGGCCCCGCGGGGGGCCCGTGTGGCCGCGGACGTCGCCGGCAGTTCCCTGACCTGTGCGAGCTCGCTCTCCTTCCTGCCCTGTCCTTGTTCTCGAAAACCAGAACTCACGTCCCCAGAGCCCTCAGCTCCCTCTGAGGCCGTCAAAATACGTGATTAAAGTGACTCACAGCAGGGTGAACCCACAGATTTCACCCCAGCAGGGATCACCGCTGATTAAAAAGGAGCTTGGTAACCCGAATAAAGAGCTCGTGGGTACAGTGTGTTTGGGGAGCTTTCGTCCTGTCGCTGGGGAAACGAGAGCCCCTCCCACCCATCTTCCTGATATTCTGCTTCCCCCCCCCACACCCCAGGGACCCCCATGAGCCTTCCTATGCTCACCTTCCACTGGCCAATAAATTAATTCTGGGTCAGTTCCCTGAGCGGAGACACCTTCAAGGACCCCATGGCCAGTTTCGAGGTTTGTTCACGACTCCACAGTTCGCCCATAATACGCGGCGTGGAGGAGGCCAGGATCCCCGAGGCCACCGCCGCCCAGCAAGCCTGTCTGTCCTGTGAACCAGCTCATGGCTTCACAGCAGATCCGTCGGGTGACTTAAAACCCAACCGAGAGCTAACCGAGGTCAACAGCCTCCGTGATGGGGGGGATCAGAGCTAAAAAGCAGTGGGGGAGGAGAGAAAGAAGGAAGAGCCCCGGTGGAAACTGGGCGTTTACTGGAGGGGGGGCCAGGGGACGGGCCCAGGCAGGCCCCGCGCAGAGGGAGGGGCGGTCAGAAGGCCTCCTTGGCGCTGTTGAATTTCTTGGGTGGCGGCCTGGGCGAGGGGGGCGAGGCACAGAAGCTGTGGTCGGGGTTCTGAGGGCCAGGAGGTGGTGTCTGCGGACTTACGGGGATGGAGCGGCTGAGGAACCTGGCCGAGGAGGAGGTCAGGCCGGCGTAGGGGGGCCGGGGGCCGGGGGC